TTCCCAAATAAACTCGTTCTTCCCATCCTTTAGCTTCTTTTCCCTTTTCTTCTTCTTTTTTTTCTTCTCATCCTATAAGAAAAAGTCAGCCATGAATTCCCCTGTAGTTGCAGATCTGTCCAATGCTATATAAACAATCATGCTTACAAAGGAATGCACCATAACTCCCTGCTTGGGCAGCTAGACAGGTAACAACATCAATAAAAAATACAGATAGTCAGTATAAGGATAACGCAGCCCTCTCCATCATAGTGACATTCCCAGCCCAGATTTCAGTCTAAAAGAATCGATTGAAAGTATGCAGCTAAAACCAACCCATAACAAATAGCATGCAAAGGCAGTGCTGCTTGGTGACATGCTGCTAGTAAACCACCTATGTACGTATGCACAGATACTGGAGTATTTAGTTCTATTCAGGTCATCTGAAATAGAGCAACATGTGAAAATGAATGACTTTATAGCCCTACTATAAAGAGACTCAGACATTGTCACTGGGTGTGTTCATCTCCTGCCTGATAGGGTATGAAATTATGTTGAAGACATCTGCCTGTTGGTGAAATACATCCTATTGTGTCACATACAAACTTTTTGTTCTGCTTTACAATCACTTCACAATTGTTGGGTCCCTTTATACGTGAACTGGAGTTGGTAACTACCCCATGAAAAAAAAAGGTCATTGTGAAGGTGTCTTTGATTGGTGCTTTTTGTCTTTCCTGTTTAAAAAAACTATTAGGGGTGAGTTACTGGCTTTTGAATGTCCTGATTTTCCTTTGACTTGTCACCAAAGTACACAAAACTGAGATACTTTATATTATTGACTTTCTGTTTAAGTGTCTATTCAGGTTTAAAATGTATATATATTTTAACAACACTGTAAAGTCCATTCCATTCTAAAGAATCTGCAAACAAAACTCCATTTGCCTGCAATACTACATCACCTCATCACAGAGTTGGAACATACTGTCAGTCACTATGAGCTGATGTGAAGTTGTGTTCCTTGTCAGGGTTTTAAATAGAACTCCTATTGGAAAGCGTGCACTGAGATTTAAATAAACAAAACTCGAATTCCTGTTAACAAATCTGAAGGACTATCCTGCTCTCTCTGAGAGTGGTACAGATCACCTGTCAAGCATCAAGACATCCAGAAATAATCCCAGCAAGCTGTGCCGTCATGACTATGACAAAGCCTTAGGCAGTAAAAGGTTTGTCAAGAAAACAGGTATTTTTGACATGTTGGAGCAAGACAGAGGTTACAAGGGAAGCAGCTCTATGAAAAAAATATGCATGTTTCATAGAAAATGCTGACTTTTTAAAACTATAATTTCTTACAGGACAACATATGATCCATGATAAAGTCAATACAGTAAAAAAATAGAATAAAAAAAATAAAAATAATAAATGTATACGATTTCATTCAACAGTTCAATGTACCAGCAGAATGTCTGCATAGGCAGTGGTGATACACACCCAGCTGAAGGAATTCGGGATTGATTTCCTGTCATTCTGCATAACATTCTATTTAGAAGTTGACGCGGAAGGTTTGCTCAGTATTGTTCTAACTGACCGTGGTCACTGTTGGAAAAACTGCTGATGATAATTATAAGGTGAAAAAAGGATTGAATTCAACAATGTAAAAATGTGTTTGCAGGTGGACATTAGATACTGCTATATGTGGAACTGCTTCACGAACTGTTTATGTGCCGGGCAGCCTTGATGGATTTTGGGACGGGGTTGATGCAGGTCCCCCAACTTTAATCAGTGTCAACTAAGTCCACATTCAGTTGGAATCAATTGACGGCCTCCAACTCTGGTTTTGACCCAAAAACACAAAGATAAAGTAAAGGCAACAGCATACATTAGGTGCAAATTACTGTCACGCTGAGTTTTCAACTCAGGTACCCGTTTGCTACCAAATTGCTGTTTTGATCTGTCATGTTACGCAAAACGAGAGGAAGCCCTCAATGGAAAAGCTTTAAGGGGTCATTGTGCCATCTATAGTGGTGGAGTATGACATACTTTAATCGATAAAAACATTTCCTTCCTGTGCTTGTATACTGGGACAAGGACGGTAGTCCAATCAGATGGCCGATTAGAAAGGACATTGTAGCTCAATTTGTGCATTTCACTGTATTTTATGTCTTTGTGGCCACCATGTGTACCTACTTTGTCCGTATAAGACAGCTGCATCTATTAATGTCTTGCTTGGATTATGACCTAAGGGCTGTATCGCACATCACTTTAGATTGCAGGAATAGTGTAAAAAGGTTTTACAGAGTTTGCCCATCCGAATAATATTAACTTCTCCTTTTTTTTTAGATGGCTGTCGAATACTCCATCAGCGCACGCCGCTCTGCGACTTACCTCACTATCGCTGTCAGAGGAGCTGCTGGAGGAAGAAGAGGAGGAGGAAGATGATGAAGATGAGCTGGAATCCTGATTAGACAGAGGTAAGAAAGTTATTTCTCTGGTCTTGAGTTTGAACAGCTCGATAACATTCCCTTATTTGTGGGCAAAAGTAGCTAGTGAAAATTTCTTTGAGTCACTAAGCACAGGAAAGGTGGCTTTGTCATAGGCCCTTGGAGAAGGTGGTGGACCTGCCAGGAGGAAGGGTGGAGATCTACAAATACTCCACAACACACAAAGAATCTGAAGCACACCCTTTGCAACAATGTGATTAAGCAACACTTGGAGAATGTCAGTTAAAATACAGGAAAAATTAATATGTCCATGACAAAACGGGATCTGGCTGTCTCAAAGTGGAACAAACACTTCCCTTCCCTTATCTGTTGGTGGCATGGCCTGATTGTTTCTTCAAGCCCAGTTGAATTACAATCACAGTCACCGCAGGAATGCCTGACTGTCATGTAGCCACATGATTTCATCACACCGACCGAAACCTCAGAAGTTAATGAGCAAAGTTTGTTCCTTTTCCAATCAGCGCCTTATGGAAGACAGATGCAACACATACTTTCTTTTTCTTTTTTTTCTTCAGCTGCTTCTTCTTCTTCTTTTTCTTTTTGCCTATGTCCTCATCGTCGCTATCCGGAGAGCTATCAAGTGAATACATCTGATACTGGCAACAAAAAAAAACACAAGGGAAAGGTTTAATTTGCACGCCTTCCATACATTTTCATATTTGGATTTGCCAGGTGCAGTTAAAAAGGTGCCAATATAGTTTTCGCTTGATTGATTTTGGTTGGCATGACGACAAATGCACGATAAAAGCACAAGATGATCCACACAGGTTGTGGCAATTTGTTTCATGCAAGTCTCTCCCACTCACCGGATCATCTTTGGCTCCTGCCCTGGGTCCAGGATGACCATTGTCTCCAATCTCCCCAGGCTTTGTCCCCCCCGGACGCTGCTGCAAATCTTCAGAAGGCACCGCCGCTGGCTGGACGCCTGGAGGATCTGCTCCAACTGTAGCTTTTCAGTTCAGCGTGACAACATTAGAATGGTCTACAGAAAGCCGTGACCACAAACCTTCTTTTTCATTCATATCGCCCCCCGCCCACCAAAAAATATGTTTGAATTATAATTATATTGCCTTGATGTCCTACTAAAAGCAAATGAGGCCACAAATTTGACTCAGCTTCCTCAACCTCTCCCTTCCTCAAAAGGACAGCAAGGTTGAAGCACAGAGGGATTACAATTAAAAACACAAACAAATAAAATATATCTGCTGCCCATCTCTGTAAAACCCTACAATAACCTGTCAATGGCACAGTTCAGAAAAGGGCCATGCCCCTAAGAGAGGAAGATAAGAAGACTTGGGGGGGGGGGGGGGGGGGGGAATAGAGTCTGACCGTGTTGTTTAAAACGAAACAAAGTAACTGAGATTGATCCCTTGCTACACAAGCTATAAACTATCAATATTAAGCAAAAGTATTTCAAGTTGAGCACGTAGATTGCAAACCTTTGGAGAGGGTGGACTCCATTGAAGCCCAGATTTCTCCTCAGTCCAGCAGATCCAGGTCTCTGACAACACCTGTAATGGGAGGTGTGCTCGTTTGCAGCTTTTGGGTGGAGAAATGAAGTGGGCGAGCTGGTTCCCGAATCTGGCACCTCCTCCGAATGAGTTTCAAAGTAAAGTCAATATCAAAACAGACTTTTTAGGATTTTTTGGAAACATTGAGTACTGATGAGCCAGTCTGATGCTTTGACGGCACGTTTTGTTTATTTCAATTTGACCGGATTTACTCCATGATTGCAGATGAAGGATTAGATTTTTATTTTGTAGCTCTGGTTTTATTCTGGAAATGTTCAGGTGTTATTTGCGTGTGGCGCGGTGACGGTGTTTATCTTGCGGGCAGTGCTGGTTTAGGGGCCGGTAGATCTGTGCCAACAGGTAATGCTTGTTTTACTGCTGCTCGCCCACAGTAACAGGATTGTAAACATCTAAATAGAATCTCCACAGGCCATTAGTGACAATTTACGACAAGTCTATACCAGTGGGAAAAAGTGCCACTCATTACTATCATTATTATAACCGTTTAAACTTCTCCACAATTCAACATGGTGTGGACATCAGACTTAGAATAAGACACCTATAAAATAGCATTTAATCATTCAGATTTGTATTGTATTTTTCACGTAGCCTACAGTAATCATATCTCAACGACTAAAGTTACGAGAATAATTTTAAATCGCATTATGCTCCTGTGTCGCCTCCCAGTGGATTTTTGGGCTGTTTTTCTATAACAGGCACAAATCGATTTGTTTTTCGTGGAGGCTTCCGTAGTTGTACCACTCAGGCAGAGTAAAGTTAGCAAGAATGTAAAAGTCCGGAAGGATTGTTTCAGTATCTCAAAGTAAGAGTTACTTTAAGAAATTCTAAAGATTACTGAATGCCGAAAAAATCCGCTTGTTTATACATTAGAGTTGAATATCGTGTAGTGTATGTTACTGGTTTGTATAGAGATTTATACAGTTTCATCCGTTGAAAAAAAAGGCAGACCATTAAAAGATGTATTTTGAAAAGTTTCCGGAAACGTTTGTGCCAATAACCTCGAAACTTTCCATCTCAAAAATTAATCGCTCAGACAATTAGTTGTGAACGAGCCCGTGTTTTTGTTGGCACACTTTATATATCGTTTTCACTTTTCGACATTTTAATTAGAACAATGACGCTAGTTCAACTTGCACGGGACACTCGATACTTCGGGAGGGCTGGTCAGTTTTCTAACCCATTTTGACACGTCTCCTGTATGCCTTCTGTTATGGTGCTTTGTTCGGGTAAGGTTCTGCTTTGGGCATAACGTTGGGTCAGCTTTTGTCAACTTGACACCAAAGTGAAGCTATGGTCTCGAGCTAAAGCCCCCCCCCCAGCTCCCTCCCTCAGTCCCTCGGACTTCAATGAGTTACTGGGTATCACCATGCCGAGCCGGACGAGGTCTCCGCCGCTGGCGGTGGCCGTGCTGGTAGCCCTGTGGGTCGGCGCTCCCGGGACTTTCGGGTCGGCATGCGACAATGGAAAGGTGTGACTTAGTGCGCGTGCGCCATTATTTAATTGACAAGTGATTGCAGCCGTTGACGTGCTCTCGCGCTTGTGTGCGTGACAGCTCTCCGTGGACAGGGATCTGCCGGCGGATGCTGTTTATCCGGACTGTGGAGTCGCCGCCTGGCCAGAGTCTCCTCAGGTAACCGGGCTTTTTATTTTATTTTTATTTTTTGCAGACCTTGTCATTACCTGCGTTACACACTGTCTCGTGATTGTTTTGGTTGGTCAGCTGGGTGCGGTGCGTTCAACGCACCCTGTGCTAGGAAGTCAAAGCAATCATAGGAAAGTCAGTGTGATAAACTTTGGACATCTGGCACTGTTTGCAGCCATTTGGCTCACTTTCAATCATCTTGCAGTCTAAATAAGTGATCATTTGTCTCTCTCGATGTTGTCCCTCCTCATTCTTATCAACAGATGCTTCCTAGTATTGACACCGCCTATGAACCAGAGGTCAGTGAGCTTTACTCATCCTGTCTTTATTGAATTCCACCCAACCTTTTACCCTCCTAATGCTTTTGGTGGACATTTATAAACTGATTGAACTTTTTTCTTTTCTTGCCTCAGCCAGCCAGAACGGTATGCATGGATAAGCCCATCTCCTATGCCCACACCATTCCCAACAGGTAAGTGGTCAAAGATGTGATGAGGGCTTTACTTTAAAGGTTGTTGTATGTTTTTTCACCTTTAATCCTCAGCAGACTTGAAACGACATTTTTACCACAGCAAAGTGACTCCTGAAGAGGTATAAGCGGAACATGCTGCATGTATCAGAATTTGTGTGTTGTTACTGAGGACTAAGAAAAAAACAAAAAGCAGTAGGTGTGCAGGAATGACGAAACCTCGCCAGAGCCAAGACTCCAACATTACTGAAGCAGTGTGAGATCATCCGGTCTAAGAACAGGGGGGAAAAAAAGGCAGCCAAGATTCAAAGGAGACCTTTGGAATGTCCCAAATTCAGTTCAATAAAAATGTGCATAGCGCCAAATAACAAGAAATAACCACCTCAGGGTATTTCAAAGACATAGCTAGATCTTAATCTAATCTGTTTTTAATGCAATCAAATTGGATTCATAAAACTCCTAAAGACCACTTAAAAGAAATGGCAGGCGGCTGGTTGAGGACGCTTCAGGACGGTCGGAAAAGAGACGGCAGACACAAGCACTTTGTAAAATGTCAACCTGTGTTTGTGTTTGCTGCAGCGGAGCCTTCAGACCAGTGAGGGCAGAGAGCGGGGAGTACGTGTACTGTCCTCCTCAGCGGTGGCTCAACAACCTGCACGTGAGTCGCGAAAATCTGGCGTCTAACATTAAAGCTGATGCATTTCTAGAAAAGCAGATAGCGTCACGGTAACGCTCCAAAGTCTCAGCTTGTCTTGTTACACCGAAAGCAGCAGAGAGGAATCAGGCCACTGTAAACATAGACAAGCAAACCCAGTTCTAGGTACATATTTGGTAAAAATAAAGATTTAGTTTTTTCAAGCTGGAAAAAGACCCAGAGGTGAGACAGCTCCCGCATTGTTTCAGCACAGTCGAAAGTCCAAGGAATGCCTCGTTGCTGGTCTGCTGCTGTTCGTGGATTTACATGAAAATCAGGGATTTAGTAAACTACATAAAGGTCGCCGCAGCTCAGGTCACCGAGCGGAAAAGAAAGGTGTCGTAAAACCGTCTGTGCTTAGTTTGGTGTGTTTTTTACAGTTTGACTCCCAACAGGGGAAATCTGTGTCCCGATGCCGGTTACAAAGTGAAAAAGGCAGCCGGGCCAAATCTGATTATGTGGACTTTCATGTTTAAAGGAGGTGTCAATGGCACCAGATGACTTAGTGAAAATCAGATCATGTCTAAAGCCAAACCGAAAAAAATGAAAATAAACGAAAACGTTTGGAATCTGAACAATGACGCCTGGAGGCCACAAAATTACAGATGATGTGAGGAGGAAGAGATGTGCCACAGCTGCAGTTGTTCGACCCCCGCCCCCCCTAAAAAAGGAAGCATTCAGACACAGTTGGATGGGTCTTTGTTTCTTTGTGCTGTAACCAGTGAACCCCAAACCCTCCACCCACGCATGTCTGTGAATTTTCCAGAATGGGGACACCGTCTTGCTCCACCATCCTTGCGCCCCGCCCCATGAGCGCCAGCTGCTATCCAGGTTGGCCCGCTCCTGTCTGCCCAGCGGCTACATCCTGACCCCGCACCCCCAGCTGAACACACACAGGGTAAGACGCACACATTTTCACCTCCACCTCCGAACTTCAACTTAAGAAACCCGGGAGATGGGGCCTCGATTGCGCAAAAAATGTTTTTAAAAAAAAAAAAAAGTATTTTAATGCAGGCTCTGACGTTCTGTCCGCTCTTGGCTCAGCCCATAGCTCTGGTGTCGTGGGGCCTCACTTTGGAGCTGGACACCGCAGCCTCTTTAGACGTCTGCGCTTGGCTGCAGGCCACACAAAGCAGAGGAAGTAAGAAGAACGATGTGGCCCAGACCATGAAGTACGACCTCCTGTTGACCAGTGCGGCGGGGCTGCGTGAGCCGGAGGCAGAAACAAAAATGAAGGTGGGGAGATTTCATTCGGAGTTATTTTAGTCGCGTGTAATCGGCCAGATGAAAGGAGTCAGACCGAGTCACAGTGGGGGTTAAGAGCTATGCTGAAGTGACTGCTTTCACACATCCTCAGGGCTCTTTGCGGCAATGCTGTGAGAAGGTTGTCTCCTCTCTTCTGAGAGGATCCACAGAGGCGCAGCCCACCGCGGAGGAGGAACGGTCGAGACCCGAGGAAAGCAAAAGCAGGGAGATCAGGGCCGCCGTGGGGGAGGGAGGAGAGCAGAGCAGCGCCGCCGCTCAAACCCGCCACAACGGCAGCAGTCTGCTTGGATCTTTAGTTGATTCATCTACAGGGAAAAAGAACTCTTCAGATTCGTCTTTTCAGAAACCTGAGCTTCGACGTGGAATCCAGAAACAAGAAGACTTCACGCACAGACCCACAGCCGGTTTTGCTTCGGTGCAAACGGAGCCGGCAGGGTCCAGGACTTCCCCGTCTGCCAAGCAGAGCAGGAAAGAGAAAAGGCTCCACGAGGACCAGGATGGCAGCACCAAGCAGAACGAAGCGGTGGAGGTGAAGGAGAGAGAGGTGCAGCAGAAGCAAAAGCCCAGCGCCGCGCACACTCCCCACAAAAGCCCAGACGCAGCGCCGGAGCCCGCCTCCAGAACCCAGCCGCCGCGTCCAGCAGGACCAGAGGAGCCGCTGCCGGGGGCAGTGGCCGGCAGGACGTCCGGAGCCGAGAGCGGAGCTGAGAGCGGCCTGCCCAGGACCCCCAGGACGGACGAGGCGGTGTGGGCGGCGGCGGCTCTGGGCTTCCTGCTGGTTCTCCTAACGCTGTCGGTCCTTCACACCCGCCTCTACCGCCACTGGAGGACCACGCCCAGTCTGTACTGGCACGACCCGCGGCAGGACTACGACAGCGTGGCAGGTGGGTGGGGCGCCGTCAGCAGGCTGGGTCCCGGTCCGGTCTCCATTCCACAGCCCGGTTCGAACCGTTGAATTTTCTGTGTCGCTCTTCCCCAGATGTGATCCGCCGGAGGTTGCGCATCTCAAAGAGAAGGCGGAAAAGGAGCAGGAGGCAGGAGTGTGCTCTCCTCCCGAGCTCCTCCAGCTCGGACGACTACCTGTGAAACGGACATCCTGGAGGAGGTGACTGAGACAGCTGCGACCCGCCTGGCCTGCTTTCTGGAGACTCCGTTCCAAACGCACCGGGACACGACAGCTCAGGGTCTTTCACAGGAAGACCAGAGGCCCACATTAAACGCACACCAGCTCATTTAAAAGAGATTGGAGGTAATTCCCTGCGATTATTCAGCTGAAAGACTAGAAACTGAGCATCCAGAAGCAGCCAGCTCTTCATGTCTTTATAAGTAGTTATTGGTTTTAACGTGTTGCTTTTACCTGTAAAAGTTCAGAGTGGAAGTTGCTGTTGTAAGCAATGCCGTCTGTGTTTGTGTGACTGGGAGTGGCCGTGATCTGGTGCAGTGGTTTGAAATGGGTTTGGAACGCACACCCACTGTCCCACGACTCAGCTCAGAGCCACGCAGTCTTTTTGTCTGCGATACGCACAACAAACTTTTTTTTTTATGTGAAAGAAGAGGAGAAACGTGCACATGGGAGCATATTATTTTTGCTGTGCTGTGAATTGTGTACTGGGTCGTCAGACCCACATCTGGGTCCGCTGGAAGGTAGAGCAAAAGGTGGTAATTTGTTACCCAACCTACCTCACATTGTTTATGTTTGAGTATTGTTACCAAATATTAGGTACCGAACATGTAAAAATTGAGATATGATTCTATTTCTAAGAGCCGAAACTGAATTATGGCTGGTTTTGATATGGAATCTAAACGCTGGGTTTGGAAGGGGTCGCGTTTTAATCATGCGGTTCTGGCTGCAAGCTGAATCTATTGCTCCTGAATCCAAAAGACAGCATCTCATCTTCCCTGTCAACGTAGGAAGTAAATAGGGGTTTTATTTCTTTGTGTTTTTACTAAATGAATAAAGTGTCTGAAAGTTTAAAAAGAACAAAGGTGTAATGGGCCCCTTTAAAAGCAGACGTAAGACATCAGCAATTGACTACTGATCCTCCAACCCATGAGGGGTTCTAAGACCATTTCTTAATAGTTCTATCATGAGATTGTTTGAAGATAGTTGCCCATCACACATGGAACAAAGTATTTTTTCATTCAAAATTGAGAGAAATCTAAAATTGAATTTACACAGGATGAAAGTTACAGCCTCTTCCACCATTTACTGATAAATATTCAAATTCAAGGATGGTGCAGACGTCAGAACAAACGGTACGCAGACACCGACAGGACAATTAAATTGTTTTATTATTTTATTACAAATGTACAGCTTATGAGTTTCCATTACGATTGACCTGTTTTGTTTTGTTTGTTTTTCTTAAGTCATTGTTTTCTCTACTTTATACAGTTTTTATTTTTTTGTTGTTTTTTTTTAACATCTTCTGTTAAAAGATAACTCTCCCATCACTCGTCTCCCAAAGCGTGAAGCCGTGAAGAAAAAAACAGAAGGGCGGCGACGGTCCGCAGGGGGGCTGAAATGCGGCGCCGCGGGCCGAAAACAGAAGCGCGCGGACGGGATTCCGGCTTTCGGGTTCCGATGGCTGTACTTGTGCATGTGTTGGTCCAACGGATACATTTTAGGACGTGTCGGATGTTTGGGGGGGGAGTAGGGGGGGCATGTGCTAAATTCTGGATTTAATAGTGTATAGGGTTTTTGCTGGGTGACATGAGTTGACAGAAGCGTTAAACATTCACACTAGAGGCACCCTATGTAGTGTCCACTAACTCCAGGAAGGACGAGGCCATGTGCGTTTAAGACTCTTGTCCTGCCTGGTCTGAGATGACTGTAGTGCTGAACCAAAGTTCGCTTAGGACCTTCCCCCCCCCCCCCCCATCTAGCCTTTTCCCCAAAACCAAAAACAAGAAAGAAAGAGAAGAAAAATGGAAGGTAATTAAACTCTGCATCCTGCACCTGATGTACTCGAGTGCTGCACGGAGCTACCATCCCGCTGTAACCAGCTGGTTGTTTGGGCAGAGTGCAAACTACTACCACCACGCTGCCCTTAAAGTCAAACACCAACAAGTACATCGGGTGGCGAGCCAGATGAAGATTTGGCGAGAGAACGTCACAGCAGGAAGGCCGTTTAGGCCGACGAACAGACATTAATATCTCACCAACAACCTTCAATAAGTGGCTTCATATCAAATATGGGATAAGAGAAAAATATATAGAGCTCTACTCCGGAGTGGGCATTTGTGATGGAAGGGATGAAAGCTTTGAAAGCGAGTTGTGGAAGTATTTCTTTAGCTTCAGCAGTCAAGTCGATATCGTTGAGATGATGATGATGTGCAAAGGCATTTGATAGCAAACAATGATACATTGCAAGAGACTATTGGACAGGGTTCAAGGCGTGTGACGAGATGTGAAATCGGGGGGGGGAGCGCAAAAGATATATCAGAGGGACAGAGAATTCAAGAAGTGAATGAAGTGGACCACCAAAGGGTTTAAATAACAGAACAAAGGCTGACTAAAAAATTTAAAAAAACAAAGAAAAAGGAAAAAGGTTGACATTTGTTCAGCGTGCTTTTATAGCCGGAAAGAAAGATAAGTAGTAAACATATTTGTTCCCAATGCAGGCACACCAGCTGGAAAACGGCTCGTAGGCTTGATTGTGCTTGCCATATAGTTAAAGAAAAAAAACAAAAACACATGGCAAACTGAATCAAGCGCGTACACGTCTCCTGGCGCCGTCAGACGAGCGTGCCGACACGCGTGCAGAGACACCCCCGTCACATTAGTGTTCGCTTTTTTTCTCTTCTAAAGTGAACTTTCTTGGCACTGCAAAACTGATTCTGAGATGATTCCACTGGCTCTGTTAAATGAGGCAAAATCTTTAAGATAAATCAAGAAAAATACAATAATGATAACGTGAAGACAAAAGAAAAAAACAGCCACATAAATGTAGCATTTTGATCCAGGTTCTGTCATAATGCGCCACAGAAAAAGAAAGAATTAAGAAATGAAGAAAATCCACTCTCCTTTGGCAACTGTTCAAACACTTGGCCGCGAGATATATCATGAGGAAGGGAAGAAAAAAGAAAATGAAACAACTGTCACCCTGAAAAGGAGCACTTGAGAAATATTGAGGACCGTTTTACAGGTTGTTTCTTTTTTCTTTCCTTTTTCTAGCAAGAGTGTGCATGTCTGCTTACATCCCAGTTAGAGGTCGACTCTCACTCCCAGCCGACTCCCTGTTCCGCTAAGAGAATCATATTCGACACAAAGAAATAAACATTTCAACAGTTAAATCAAAAAAAGGACAGTCAGTAAAATTATCGATACAAAAAAATAAAATAATAATAATCGGCACGATAAACAATAACAATAGTCACAATTATTCCAGTGTAAGTGTTTTTTTGTAAGTCAGTAAAAAAAAAAAAAAAGATTTCTGTCCACAGAGCTGCAAATTAAGCTGATCTGCACATTTAAAAAAAATGAAAAAAAAGACGAGAGGAAAGAGATGAAAACATGCCAGATCATGCTGTGTACCACCAAGTACGAGGGGTGGGGGTAAGGGTGGGGGGTTTGAAGAAAGCTGTAGTCCTGCCCACACGCACCCCCTGTAAAAAAACAAACAAAAAAAAAGCCCGTCCAAAGAGACCTCCTTTCAGTAGAGAGGATCAACCAGAGAAAGAGGAAGACGGCCTGGGGAGGGCACGACTGCCAGGACACCACCCCTCCTCTTCATGGGTGGAATCTGGCTGTGGATGGCGGGAGGGGGGGGGCTGGGGGGGGAGCGGTGAATAAATAAAGCAGGTAGCATCCGGGGATCCACTCGGCTGTACATGGCATCACAGTTTCGGGGGCTCTTCGGACGCCTCGCATCTTCCCCCTCTCCCTGCTCTCGCCCCCTCTTGTGTGGACTCCCCTCCTTTCGTGCGACCCCTCCTCATCCTCCCGTCTGCGCGTTGTCCCCCCCTTCCCGCTCCGCCCCCTCCCGGCCGGCGCGCCGCTGGGGTCACTGCTTCTTCTCCCGGGTGGTGATGGTGACCAGCTGCTTGGCGGCCTTGGCGATGTCGTAGGCGCACTGGATGACCTGCTGAGTCAGCAGCTGGTAGTCCACGGCGGGGGCGCCGGGCTCCGACGGCGCCGCCTTGCGACACTCCACCTGCAGCCGCGAGGCGCTGGACGCCAGCAGGCGCAGGGAGCAGTGGACCGCATCCAGAGCCGGCCGCTGACGGAGGGGAGGGGAAGAAGAGGAGAGAGAGAGGGGCGATCAGGACTCGGCTGGGGGGGAATAACAGGGCGGGAAACGACTGGAGGAAAACTTACCTTGGGAAAGAGGGAGGCCATCTCTGTGACAGCAGAGTGGATCTTCTCCGAACACGGAACGAAGCTGAGGAGAGAAATCGTTTCCCTTATTCTCTCCTGATAGTCTCAAACTTTAGATTTCATAAAAAGTCTGCAAGTTTTCAGTAAAAACTGAAACAAACTGAACCAAATGCTAAAGGCTGGAGGACTAAGATGGACCCAATTGGATTTACTTGGACCAGATCAATACCAGGACTGGGTATGGAAAACAAACAAAGAGCACCTTTGAGAGGCGAAGTCTCTCAGAAGTAAAGATCTCCATCTGCAGAACAGAATGTTTATCTAGTGATTTGGGGATTCTGGAGAAGCCTCCATCTCTCTGTCTGTCACCCAGCAACACGCCAGGACTTGAGAACACTTACAGAAATCACTGTGTGAACACAGTTTAGTGTCCCATTTTTTATACTAATTCTATGATTTCGCACCAGTTGGTTTATTTCAAACCTACATTTCAAACAGCATCTGGAACTTGATTTCCTCTCTCCGCTTTATAACCTGTGCGACTGCATTGTTTTTTTTCTGCTGGAGAACATCTGTAACGACGCTCCTTTTGCTCGGCATTGTGGGTGAAGAATGCTCCCGATGAGGAGCAGTGAGGCTCACCGTTGTCGTTTTGACTGACGCGTAAATCACCTGCTTTGCTGTTGGTCTTTTTTTATTATTTTTTTTAAAAACAAAACTGAACCCACACACCGGCAGCAGTTCTGGCTTTTCAGATTGCGGCTGCTGGTGTGCATCAGTCCACCTCTCCAGCTCACCTGTCGTGCTTGAAGTCCTGGGCGGCCCGCAGCAGCTCCTGGATGTTCTTGGTGACCTGCTCGGTCTTCAGGATGACGTCCTCCGTGCAGGGCAGGGTGGGGTCCGGCTCCCCCGCCTCGCCGCCGCCCCCCTCCTCCGAGTCGCCGCGCCCTTCCTCCTCGCTGCTGCGCCCAACGCTGAAAACAGAAAGGGATGGACTGGCCGATGAGCCGGTGGGACCGGGGGTTGAAGGGGAGCCGCTCCGCTGTGGACACGGGGCTGACCTCAGGGAATGCTCGTACGTTTGCGTGTTGTCGTAGTCGCTGTCCGTGCCGCTGCCGTGCTTCTCCGGTTTAGAAACCTGTAGGCAAACCGACAGTTAGGACACCCCCCGTGCCCCCCCCACCCCCACCCCCAGAGCAGCGGCGGCTCACCATGTATCTGCCCATCTCCGTAGAGCCAGACAGATGCTGACCCCCGTAGGAGGCCGGAGCCCCGCCGCCACCCTTCCTCACCTGAGAAGACACACGAGCACGCGGGTGGAGGGGAAGAGAAATGACACCCAGAGGGAGAAGAGGGGGAGAAAATGATAGATTAGAAGAAAAAAAAGTGGAAGATAAATGAGAAAATAAAATAAATACCTCGGGGGTGGGAAAAAAAGGGAAATATAAGGGAGGCAGCTCACACATCATCCTATCAGGACTAAGTGTCTCTTTACTTCTCTAATGATTCGGTTACACTTTTAACTTTCTGGTTACCAATTTCTACACACACACACCCAAAAGAATTCAATAAAAAGAGACATACAGACTATATCTAAAACAGAAAAGAAAAGAAAAAAATCACCAGAAACACACACTAGGGTGCTGATTTGCACACTGGAAATGCACAACACGCAGGTGACGTGGAGTGAGACCCCCCCTGGGGGGTGGAGGGGGGGGGGATGGGACGGCAAAGGGTGTGATGACACACACAGAATGCTTACATCCGCAGGGTGCACGGCCGCGCTGCTGCGGTGAGCGAGGGACAGACGGGTGAAGAGACGGACAGAAAAACACACACACAGGTGAGACGACGTGTGGACTCCCGTCCGGGGGGGTGGGGGGGCTCGAGACAAGCTTCCATTTCCGGGCGTGTGCGTGTGCATGCACTCTGTGCCAGTGTGTGTGTGTGTGTGTGTGTGTGTGTGTTATTTCCAGACGAAGCAGTGGCGGGAGAGCTATCTGGGCCCCCCCCAGAGAGAGGGTTTGAAAAGGGTGCAGGCAGGAGAGCAGAGCATCAGAGGCGTTACCGACCCCCCCCACCCTTCCCCCATCTTTCTCCTGAAGGTCCGGTGTGTGTGTCCCCTGTGGGCTTTGTCCGATTGATTTGTTGTGCACAGCGCGACTTTTCAGGGAGAAAGATCGGCACGTGAGATGCAACACACCAGGGAGAAGGGGAAAATACAGAGTTCAGGATTGGATTGAGACCCGTTAATTAGGCTGACGACAGCCAATCAGGGAAGTGGACAGTGGCTCGTCAAGAAGGAAAAAGGGGGGGCGTGGTTCTAACTTACGCTGGGTGTGTTGAGGGGCTGCAGGCGGGCTGCCAGGGAGTCCAGGGCTGGGGGGCCGTGGGCCGTGGAGGCGGGGGCCGCCCCGGGTTCGTACATTGAGTAGGCCTGGCGTTCCCTCCGGTGGGGGTGGGAGAGGGGGGCGGCTGAGGAGTGCACAGAGAGCCCCGGGGGGTCGGCTCTGGCCCCGAGCACGCCCGGGCCCCCCCCGCCTATGCCTCCACGCATCCCACCCCCCGTCCAGTGGACCCCTCCTCCTCCGCCAGGGCCCCCGACCCCATGGCCGCCGGCCCCCCCAGCCTGCTGGCCCCCCCGCAGCGCACTGTTCTCTGTCTGCATCCGGGTGATCTACGGGAGAGCAGGGAGGGATGAGAGGATGGAGGGAGGGACGAAGGGAGGAACACGGGGAGGTTTTAGGGGAAGGAGGGAGGGGGGGGGTGTAAACTGAATGGTCAAAACAAGCGTCCATAAACACACCTTCAAAATGGTTACACATCAGCACTGGGGGGGGGTTAAAGTAAACACTTGAGTAAGCATGGGTTCAGTTTAACATGCGGATAGCTACAGCACTGTGCAAAAGTTTTCAGCCCCCCCTCCCCCCCACACACATCTGTTTATGTGCAATAGCTGTGGTCTTTTTTTCCTCCCTTTAAGAACGGATCGGCCGAAGGGCCGGACGTCCCTCTCAGGTTTTGTGGTCTGGCGTCCCATTGGATTTTAGGCTGGATGTTTGTCTAATTTTTTGGATGTAATCACATCCAGACACTCTAGCCCTGCTGTATAAATGTCTTCTTTCTTTTCTTTTCTTTTTTGTTTTTCAGGCCTGCCACTGTCTTTCATGTCTGCTTTTCAGCTGACAGCTTTTTATGGGAACCCCCCTTTATTTTTAATGTACTATCCACCATCCAAATCTTTCCTGCTTCATCTTTTCTCACTGATTCAACTGCTTTCAGGATGGACTGCTTAGGATGTTGGAAATTATACTACTTAATATAGGTTCTATTGTTACCCCTGCTTCGTTCCTTGGTTTAGATGACTTCTTTTATGCCTGAAAATTTTAAATAATAGATGTCACAGAGAGAAAAACTTGCAGACGTCCACATAAATACATTTGCTAGGTTTTAGGAAGTCTTGCAAACCCTGTTCCGTGAACTCTTTAAAAGATTACAAAAAATCGAAGTTGGAGGAGCGGGCTCAGTTCTTTTGCACAGCTCTGAGGCACTGGTCATTTCTCTGGCACCATCTTTTTTTTTTTTCTCTAAAAGTGAACGACTGCCGACAAACAACGGCGACCTCTGATGAAAACATCTGACTGTTAGGAATGACTCAAACTGAACGGAAAGAAGCCACAGTGAGCAGCACGACGGGATGGACGTTATCCAAACTGAACTGAAGGATGACACACACAGGATGAGGGTTAGGGCCGTTTTAGTTTCTAGCTGCAGCATGGGATAGGGGAAATGACACCCAGGAGGAAACATAAAGAGAATAACATCCATTCATACATCCAGCTGTCTCTCCAGCTCCCCGCCCTCTTTCTGTCTCAGTGGAAGCTGCCCTCTCTTTTAGAGGATCTGATTGTCCCTTTGTCCTTCTTTAAAGTCTGAGAAAAAGCTCAGATTGAATAAAAATGGGTGGGAGGCGCCATACGACCGATGCGGAAAACGTGTTAACGCTGTGTTCCCCAAACTTTTAATATGGACTGTCCGGGGACTGAGGATATGAGCTGACCTCTGCTGAGAACAGATCTTGCACTGAGCACTAGCTTTGGGTGACTAACTTAGCTAGGGGGACTTAAAAGGGCACTTTTGTGTGCGGAGGGAGGCTAAGAAGCGGCGCTTGCGCAGGCCTGGCTGCACACGCAGGTTTCGAGGCCGATTCTGTGCTAAGGCGAGATAGTAGAAAAGCGGGAACTTCACCTGGTGGCTTTGAGAACCCTTTTATCCAAGCCTGCTAGGATTCCTTGGCTGACTCAGACTTTAATACATTATTTGGAGCCATTTTAGAGTTTGTTTGTTTTTTCTTAAAACTTGGTTTTCTACTAGTTTCCCAGTTGTGCTTCCTACCTCCTTCTGGAGCCGCCGCAGCTCCTCGCTCAGGTTGTTGTTGACCTTCATCAGCTGCTGCACTTTGGCCTCTGAGGAGGCCAAGGCCTTCTTCACCTCCAGATACTCCTGGAGGGTGATGGGACCATCCGACAAGTCTGATGAGTCCATACTCTAAATTGATGGGCGAAAAAGAAAAAAAAAAGACATATGAGGAGAGGCAGGTGGAATTACCATTTAGAAACAATCTCTAAAAATGGTTAAACGGGGCGAGTCTGGTGGGGTAGAGTGAGGACACGCAGCATGAATCGCTGCCTTCTGAGCTGTGTAAACAGAGCCTTCAGCTGTGTGTGAGGAGGAGGGCTGCCCATCACACACATGGACAGTAGGATCTTAGTTCTTGCGCTCAGCAAACCATCCTCCCCCACTTCCTGTGACCCTGAGGCTGGCTCAGATTCAGCTCTTACCACTCCTTAACCAGCAACTACTTTTAAGCTCCTCTTTGCAAATCTCTTTGCTTTTCATTAGCCATCTTTGCACATTCTACTCTGGCTGTTTTAACTTTAAGGCCACAGCAAACGATAACATGTAAACATGTTCCTGTGTGTGGAACGGATAGCGATGGTTACTCCCTCCCCAGTCGGAGGTGACTGTCACTGGTCTGGACTGGTCTTCTTCTCTTCCCTCCAAATAAACTGTCTCTCTCCAGCCGTGCGAACAATGCCTTACTGAAAAAACCCCAGTGTGGCTGATGAGGTCATTCTACAGCTATGTCACGGCCCTGACTGCGGCCGCTTCCTGCAAAGCATACTGGGAGAAGCAGTCTTTGCAGAAACTGTGCAAGAGGTAACAGATACTTTTCTACTGGATGGGAAAAAGCGGCCTTCGAAAAGCGTAGTCCAATTCCCAGAGAAATGTATAAATATTCATGTAAACACAGCAACATGTGTCAAAAAAAAAAAAAAAGTTGCCCACGCCCCCATTAACAGAGGTTTGCAAACATCTGGGGACGAAGGAAACCAGCTGTCTCACTTCTGGGAGAGGAATGTCGGCCCATATTTAAAGAATCTGTTTTCAGATTAAAGCTGGGTGGGTTTTTTGGGTCATATTCTGCGTTTTATGATAATTCAAACCTAAACAGATGACCCCACGACCACAATTTCCAAAAAGACATTGAACAATTAGTTCAAATCTGCTCTATTGCAAATAAGATGGACTACGCTCTCAATTGGTTCCTTCTTGTGAGAGATGGTATAAACCAGCTTGTAAACTGCATTTGTGGATTGTACAGAGAACTGAGCTCACAGCCTGTTTTTAATGTGCCACTGCCTTTGGGCCGGGTCAGTCCCCTGTCCCCTGCACACAAAGATGACTTTGGATTCTATGAAGGTTATTACACGATGGATGAAGGAGTTTTTCTTTTTAATCACAATTTTACACAAAGCCAAATTAATCTGACATGAGTCAACTATTAGTAGGGTTTTTTTTTTTTTTTTTTTTAATCATTGGAGTCCCTCCAAGTCCTTCCTTACTTGTAGACTCCTCTCTAAAGTGCTCTTTTTTAACAAATGCAAATAATCAATAATCCTGTTGTTTTGTCAGTTATTTCAATTAATTGCAAAATGTTGTTTTATTAGTTTTTTTCCCCTCCCATGAGCCCTTTGATTTGGCATGGGTAACATCTTATGACACGTTTTGCTGTAGCTCAATTCTGAACATGTGCTCCAGACAAACTGCGTTTCTGATGGTCTTTGGAGTGTAAAGCATTTGTGATGGCTGGATTGTTTGTTTTTTTGGGTTTGGAGGTGGTTTTACCTCCTGAAAAGCGGGCCGCTGTGTGTTCGGGTGTCGTACCTTTGCGCGATTGCTGCGTTGCGTGTTGTTGTTGTTCTGGGCGGTCAGCTCGCTGTCCGTGTCTTCGTCAGAAGCTACGCTGTCGTAGTCGTGTTGATCATCATCTATGCCCAGATCCAGCGGGTCTGGAGAGGGGGGGGAAAACTGTTTATTTAAAAGATTTACCAGTCTTCCTCTCGGTGTCTAGCAACACTTAAATAACCGATTTGGGCGAGTTCCTGCGAGAGCGGATCCAAAGTAAATAGGTAAAAATACACAACCTGAACCGGTGCAGATTTTGAACCAGCAGGTTGCCTTTATGGTGCCTCTATGTGCACATTTGTTTCTATATTTGCCTGAACGCCCCGTCCTCCCAGTCTCACCGGTCGGGCTGCTCAGACCTTTCCCCTGCTGTCTCCTCTTGGCATCGCTCAGGATGTCGATGATGAGCGTGGCAAACTCCCGAGCGTTGAAACGGGCCAGCTTCTGACGGCCCTGGGAGAAGAAGGGGTTGGGGCTGTTTAATATTTAAACACATACGCTCAGTGGCCTGGCTGTTTAACAAAAAAAAAAAAAAAAAAAGAAAAGAAAGAAAGAAAGAAAATCACTAAAAAGCTCCTATTGTGCGCTGACAAACGGAACGTAGCCCGCAGTCAGCGGCTCGGTGCCTGTGTGACTCCTGTGGTCAGCGAGCATGTGCTGTGGAAAAACACAGTCATGCTCACAACACAACACACTCCGACACACACACACACACACACACCATCGACCGAAACTGTGCTCAGGAAAACCCGAGAGACATAAACTGTGCAATTAGGCAAGCACGCTGGCATCTGTATGAGACAATAAAGAGGAGAATTTCCAGCCCTTTTCCACAAACCAACGCACTATTCATAATGCAGGACTCTAAAGCCTCAGCTCTGCGTTGTCCATTTCCTTTGCTCCTGACCACTAGCAGTTAGCCAATCAGCGAACAGCGAGCGTGGCAGTGTGGGTGTGTTTTCTGTGTGTGTACATATTAGTGGACAGGCGGCATGTCTGACTCTTGCAAACAGTGGGGGAAAAGAGAGGGAGTGGGACCAAAGAGGGACGATCATCTCTCAAAGTTCGAGCCCCCCCCCCCTCCATTTAGAGCTCATTACGACGCGTTTACCTGGTTGCGTGTGGCGGAGTACTCCGGGTTGACCGGCAGGAAAGGAACGGCGCTCCGCTCTGTCACCAGAGTGCTGTGGTTCTGCGTCGTCAGCCACACTGGAGAGGGAAAAAAATATGAAATAATGCGAGTTACTGAGCAGTGAGGAGTCTTGGTTGGAGCATGCGCAGCCACCCACGTCGAACTCTGTCCATCCTCCCACGCAGTGAAAACATAAACAAAGTTAAGGGAAAAAAAAGGAAAAACTAAACAAAACTGTAAAACAGAAGCCAAAGCTGGAATCCTTGATTGCAGTTGTATGGTCTCTCTACACTCCCACTGCGTGTGTGTGTGTCATTGCTGCTTACCTGTAATGATTCTGCCAAAAAGCAGCAATTTGACTGTTTCTGCTACTACTCAGGAGAGGGAGAGAAGAGAAGCAAAGAAGAGACAGAGGAGGAGGAGGAGGAGGAGGAGGAGGAGAGCAACTCAAGAATTTCTGAGGCACTTCCTCGCTCTCACTCTCCTCCTCCTTCCTCTTCAACAGCCACTTTTCTGTCTTCCTCAGACCTGTAACCACTGCCTGCTTTCTTTTGCTCTGGCTTCCACCAAATAGCTGAGGAGGTGCTTCGTACTCTCTTTGACTTCATCTTCCTCTCTGCGCTTGCGGAATAAGTCCCGCTTTACGGAGGACAAAGGGGATCAGGCTCACCTGCGTCGTTTTCCCTGCGATCCACCTCGTCGTAGACGTCCATCGCCAGCTCCTCGAACAACCGGTTGTTGAGCTGGAGCGCAGAGACAAAAGGGAACCCCAAACACATCAACTGTTAGCACGTGAGCTCAAGCGTAAAAAGCCATTAAATGAATGAGTGCTGTGCTAGTCTAACGGAATAGATGACAAAAAAAAGAAGAAAAGCCATCAGTTTCAGCCGAATATGCATATCCATGAATATTTCAAGAGCCAATTAACAATAACAATAGCAAGATTTATTACTCAAACATCTACAGCTGACAGTCCAAACTGAATTCCCAGCACTCCATTAGCCCTAACAGATGGTTCTTAAGACAATAAGCATTACTCAGGCTGGAAAAGTTTGGCTGATTTAAAACATTTTCCCTTGACGTGGACTTTCAAGACCCCGAACAGGATTCTGGATTGTCAGAAGGGCTTGAGGCTAAACCTTTAAATTGGTTAGCAACACTGAATGATTAGCAAAGTGAGTTTAATATTCATCTTACCGCTTGAAGCTTCTTCTTGGCAGCCTTGGCCAGCTCAGAGAGGTCCAGACTTATGTAAAATAATAAAAAAACAAAGAAGAACACAAAAAGAAGGTCACACAGCATTCTGAAACAAATAGAAGAAGAAGAGAGAGACAGGGCCAGGAAAAGGAGGAAAACATGGAGACGGCTACAAAAGCAAGAGTCCAGGAGGAAGACAAAGGCATTTTAATGGGGTGGGTGGGTAGGGGGGGCAGGTACATTTTAGGTGAGATGCAATGGGTGTTGAATGTAAACAGCTTGAGCTAATGGTGACTGCTTATTGCGACTATAAGATGTGGAAAAAACACATTTCTGGCAGGCCTCGACTTTCTCGCCATCTGTTGCTGGAAACAAAGTCTGACGGCACAGATGCAGAATATTTATATCTCTGAATCTGAAGGTTCATTCCAAACAGGTTATGGACAAAATCTGGTCGAAAGTATTTAAAAAACATACATGTTAATGGGACATTTACCTGGTGTGGCTTTCCTGAGACACAGCATGTTCTATGATCACTGTCTGACTGTTTTACTGTAAAGCTCTGAATTCTAGTAATAACAACTTAACCCAAAATGATTTAACCTAGTCCGGTTTACATAGAGGGGGGGGAAAGACAAAAGACAAGACTGACAAAGGACAAAAGATGACAAGGGCTGAGAGAGAGGGAGAGATTTTAGGAAAAGAGGAACAAGGAAAGTAAAGATACCTCTGTGTTGGGCACTTAGGACGAGCTCTGGCTCCACCAAGCGCAGCGAAACGGAGAGAGCAGAGGAGGAGTGAGAAAAAGAAGAAGAAAGAGACAGAAAGAAAGAGTGGGGAAGAGAAGCCACATCAAAACAGCTTTAATTGTTATTATCAAGAGGAACCGTCAAACAGAACAGATGTGAGTAGAGTTAGACGATAGCTCGGAAGCAAGATCCACCTCAGCTGCAAACAGATGTTGCAGCACATCTGGATGAGTAAAAAAAAAAAAAGAAAGAAAAAAAAAAATAGGGAAAAAAAGCAAATACACATATATATGTGTATAAACAAACATTTGGCTGATTCCCCCTTTCTTTAATGATGTGGTCTGGGTGCACGCGGCAAACGGGAAACTAAATATTTGGGAGAAGTCCCGCTGGGCCTGATTTCCCAGCGGCAAAAAGAGGGACTTCTGCATCTCTAACATCAAACCTGAGGTCCAGCCTTCACTGAACAGCACACTCTGCTTTATTTGTGAGCCCAACTCTAATAAAGATGCCTCATAAGTCTACCATTTTTTTTTCTATTGTGGCTGTGGGTACAAATGCTTTGGTGACACCTTGTGGTCAGGAGACAGAACCACATCATAATGAATCCATGTCAGAGTGAAAATGACGGTGGATTGTGGATATTTGGCAAGTTAAGCAGCAGTAAGTTTGTATATTTAAGAACCAATGAAACGTACCTGTCTGCCATTTGAGGAATGATATAATGCCCGTTTTTGTGATCTGAGTAGAGAAGAGAGAGAGGGAGGGGGGCGCAGACCTTTTTAATAATGGCACAGGTGGATGCTTCAGCAGTGCGTTGCAGAGGTTAACGCCAACCCTGATGCACGCAGGGCGCCGACTGACCTGGACGCCGGCCACACAAGTAGAAGGCCAGCCTGTCTGTCAGCTCGTACTGACACTCCACCAGACGCTCCGCCAGCTCCGTGTGGCCCGCCTGCCTGAATCACACACAAACACACACACACACACACACACACACAGATAGTTCTGAGTGCCTCTCGGCCATCTTCTGAGGCATGGCGCGACGCTGGTGGAACGGGGCGGCTCTTTTCTTGTACCTGGCGTAATCCATGGGCGTGCGGCCATTGATGTCGGGCGCCCCGGGATCGGCGCCGTACACGACCAGCAGCTCGGCCTGCAAGATCTGGCCCGCCTTGGCTGCCACGTGGAGCGGAGTTGTGCCTTTTTCCTGCGGCAGCCGGAACACACAGACACCAACATGGTCAGAACAACGGGCCCCGGGACAGAGACAATAGCCCAACGGCTTTGCTTATTGCTGGGATGGGGTGACTAAGCGAGAAGACATTTCCTGACCGGGTGGAAGAAGTTGGCCTGAGCGCCGAGGGACAGCAGCCGAAGACATGTTTCCAAACTCCCCGTCCGAACGCTCGAATGAAGTTGCTAAAAGGGAGGGGTGGGGGGGGGGTGGGGGGGGTTAGGGAGACAGGAAGTGAGAACAGAGGGAGGCAGAGAGTCCGGGTGGACTGACAGAAACGGGCCGCAGCCTCTTATTAACCCAGCAGAGGCCCACAGAGATCATTAAACATCCTGCTGTGTCATCCAGAACACTTCCTACCAGAGGGAGGTTTAAAAGCGAGAGTGGAGGTGTGTGTTTGGAGTCCTCATGTGGGCGTGTGTGTGTGTGTGTGTGTGTGTGTGTGTATGTGTGCGGTGCTATGGAACAACCTTTGTGCTTGCACATGCTGTTCCACAGTATGACTGTGTCCTCATAGGCTAATTAACCCAAACTGCTCATCATTACTGAACATCCTCAGGAGGTTAGCTTTTTTTTTTTTTTTTAAACTTTATAAACGTATTGAAATATATTCATATCATATGATGGAAACAAATGTGGAAGCAAACCTTCTCTGCTTTAATAAAAGTGTCTTAAAGCTCTTTAGTATGCATAACCCTCTTCTTAGGCACATTCGGAGCTATCGATTAATGCCCGACTAACGAACTCTATTAGACTCCATCGACAACCTTTTCTTTTTTTTTTTAATCTAACCAACTTATAAAATTGTTATCGAGGCGATCTCTCCGATTGGCTGATCAGCATTGCCAAGGAGTGCACGGGCAATGCTGAAGAGCTGACAACTGACTCACCACCTCAGACCCAATTTTCTCACATCTGTCATTTTAATTTTTTGCACGTTTACTGCAAGGCGTGAAACCTGCCCCAAGAAGCTAAACACGGCGCAAGCTGCTGTGCTTATCTTCTTTTGGAATTCTGTCGTCTCCTTTCCCCTCACTGTATTACACCCAACAGAGAGCCACTGGCCGCTGCTGTCCTAAGAACACATTCCAGGCTGTAGGAATGTCATGATCCGACCACAACACAAGGAAAAGGCTTCATACAAAATGGGCCAGATCTAAAATTTGGTCTCCGGACAAAATAAACTTAGACCAACTAATGATCTGAGCCTTGGACTTCCAGGAACAATGCCCAACTGGTGCTCATCGACACGTCAAATGAAGCTGGCAAAAAACAGGCCCAGGGAAAGGGGGGCAAAGTTGAAATATCTTAAATGAAAAAGACGATCATATTTCGCTGACTTTGTTGGGCTACAGATATTAACCAGTCCGTTCTGCCTGACAATACTTCTTTCATTTCACCTAAGCTTATGGAAAATTGTGCCATGTCCATTTGAGCCTCCGGAAAGGACAGCAGTTTAATTTATTATTTTTGCCCCAAAGTTCCCCCACTGCATTTTTTGAGGGGATGAAACCAGCTCTCAGATCTTCTCCAGTTCCGTTCCACTGTGCCTTACGCGAACAGCTAGTGGGAAAGGAGTGATGGCACTTTTTGCTCAGGTTTGTTAAAAGGTGATCGTGTGTGTGTGTGTGGGGGGAAAAAGGCTCGTCGTCTGTCTTCTCAACGTGCGATTGCACACAGCCCTGAAATGCCGAGCCCTTACCTTACTGAGATCCTTAGTAGTGACGCCATCATCATCGCGGCAGGGAAGCTTGTGCACAAATGCCAGCATCTGGTATTTGGCTCGGATGAACTCTGACTTAGTGGGACTGAACAGTAGGAGAGGACAGTAAGATGATTAGCAAAAATCCAGATCTTCAGAAGAAAAACAATGTGAGGATACAACAAATGCAAGTACCCGTACATGCGTATACACCAATTTCATGTTCATGTTGTTTTTTTTCCATGCTAAAAATGGGTCCGGAGCCTGTTTACACTCAGCCTGTGAATGGGCTCCTTCCCTGTTTTTACTGTGCGAGAAAAGTGAAGTGCTGAACAATGCAGAAACTCCCTTTTGGAAGCGGACAAGTTAGATTCACAATGAGCCAGAACAGACGATACACAGCTGCTTTCCTGCTTCTGCTACACAGGCGGATTTTCAGAGGCTGTGCAGAACGTCCTCCCAGGGCCGCTTCGCTTACAAAGAAGAGAGAAAAACGCTTCTCCGCCGCACCAGATTGCTTGTGCCGTGAGACATCCCCCGTACAATTTTCAGCCCGAAAACGCAACCCTTTGTGACACAAAAGGGGCGACGTGGGAGGAATCATCGGGATGATCATCAGAGACCATTAAGTAACGACGGGGCCCGAAAACTTCAATTACGTTCACAGCGGGACAGTCGTTTCAGAGGGTGTCGGCGCTGTTCTGTTTTATTTTAAGCCAGTCGGAGGCATACTTACTGAACCTTGTCCTGAGGGTTGGGTTTCCTCCGGCCGCTCTGCACCTGCGCAGGGTCCAGGAGGCTGTGTTCCCATATGGAGTTAGCCCCGTTACTGGCCAGGGTCTGCACCATCTGAGGCACAGTCACAAGGTGGACTCGGGTGAGCATGGGAAGCCAGAACTTACAGGCTGCAAACAAACCGTCAACGCGTGGAAGCACCGGACCTCCGTCCCCATCTTGTCCTGTCTCAGCCTCACCTGCAGTAGCCTGGGAGGCCACCCGCTGTGCCTCAGGTGCTTCACTATGGAGATGTGGCGGCCCAAGCTGCGGTGGACCGAGCAGCATTCATCACAGATCAGGACCCCCCGGTTGATACTGGTCCAGCCTGGGTCTGATAATCAAACACACAAACGGACGAGCCATAATCTTTTAGGTGGGAGGTGTTCAGATAATCCTAGTTCAATATTTCACAACAATTGTCAATGTCTAGCTCATTTATAGCACTATTATAAGCCTGTTGAAAAACAGCCCTGGTTTACTGGCAAATTGTACTTTCAAAGGTTACATAAGGGTACATTCAGTTAGGTTTCTGTTGAATTTTTGTAAAATGAAATGCAAAACTACTTACTATGCTATAACCATCCTACCCAAAAAGTGATGCACTCCACCTGCACAGCCCATCTGCTCATACTTTAAATAAAAAAAATTATTTTTCTCAGTTTCTAATCCCAGTAAGAAATATTCCCCGTCTTTTAGGATAAAGATTAATGTCCAACCTGAAGATGACAATGAAAAGCATGGATCTTTATGTCCGACACATTGTGGAATAAAAATAAAACCTCATGGCCATGATTTTTTGATGGTACCTAAGAGCTTCTGCCATTAACGTTTAGCATTTTCTAACTGGCTGAGTTTAGAAAAGAAAAAGACTCTTTTGCAACTGTGACCCAAACTTGGAACTTTTTTTTTTAACACACAAAAGAGTGTGACAAAGTGAGGCAAGGAACGGAAGCAACAACGCCTGACGTCGGCGTCCAGGCGCTTAAAGTCTAGTCTCAGAGTTGCGTTTTTGCCTTGGGGGCCCTGAAGATGCGACGAGCAGCTCACAGCTCACCAACGCACTCCGCCACACCGACACAAACGCCCACGGGAACATCCACTATCAGCATTAGTCACTATCAGGCTGGGATAAAAGTGTCCCAGTTTAGGGTATTAATGGAGCTAAAACAGTCCAATCGTCAGATGAAATGACATGCTTTGACTTTTTTTTTTTTTTCTGTGGGCAGAAAGAGTGGCACCGAAATGCAAAGATGCTCCGATGACTCCTCTCTGCCTGGTGTGGAGCGGGTCGCCTATACGCTTTAAAAGGCCAGACTGCAGCAGTTTAATTCCATAATCTGTGTAATAAATATACAAACTCCCACAGTCTGGGCTATCTGCCTGGTCCACTGAATCAATATGATGGCTACGCCATTAGGCTATTAGACCCGGGAAGACGGTTAGGCTTTGCTTTATCGGCCAAACTCGCAGCATGACATAATTTACCAAAAGTTGGTCTAACGCTTCTCTGCATTATCTGCGAATATTGTTGTGCCAGTTTAGCCTTTTTTTAACGCACAATAAAGAACTGTGATAAAGGAACTAAGGTTATTACAACGATGGATGAACAACACGACGGGGACAAGATGGAGAAAGACACTACGGGCCCCAACTCAGCAGGTTAAATGTTGAATTAGATCTCATGACGGTTCAATTGGGAATAGGGAAAAAACAAATGCAGCAGGGCTGGTTTGGAAGGGCCACAGAAGAGGTCAAACCGCATGACTTATGGACCGATGTATTTTCAGGCCAATAGGGACATGTTTGGTCAAAGATCAAACATAGCACGCTAGCTCAAACTGCTCATGCCAACTGTTGAGCACGGTGGCGGTAGCGTGATGAGCTGGGCTTCGTCTTACAGCCAAAGAGCACGGACACTTTGCAGTCGCTGACCACAGACAAACCACTGTAGGGCCACATGTGACTGTCTGCCTTACAGCTGAAATGTGGTCCTGCAACAGGACGACAATCCAAGAAATCTGGCTTCAAATAATTTTTTCATTACGTCTTCAAATGTTAACCCCTCAGAACAGAAGGATGGAGTACTTTTCTTGTTACATGACAGTACATTAAGTATATCACAGGCACGACCAGTGAGCTTTGTTAAATTACCATCTAATAAAGCACGGAAATGACAGGTCTTTACTGGCTTGCTTTAGTTTGCCTACACATTTTTTTTTTATTCATTTCAAGTTAGCCTCATTGAATGGAACCAAACGCAGGTCTCTACAGCTACATAAAGGCTTTGCGATTACCCCAGTCAAACCCTTCTAAGTGCCTGCACACAAGTATACGCTAACAAAGAAGGGTTTACTGTCATAAAGACATGATTCATTGTTGCTATAAACTGTGCACGTTTCCATGCCGCAACATGAAAGCCTCCCGAGGCTTGGCTAGGACCTGGAGTATCAGCCGTGCTTTGTAGTCGTGCCATCGAGTTATCCCCCCCGTACGACACAAAGCTGGATAGGAGGGAGGTGGCCTGTCACCAGAGGCTAGGTCAGCACTTTGCAGGGTGCACTGCGTGTCTGTGCTCATGTTGTTCGAAGGAGGGGAGCAGACGACAGAAAATAAAAAGAAATGCTCCACTGGTTGCAGGTACACCGACACAAACAAAGACGCCCATCCATATGAGAAAAGAAAAAAAAGACTAATTTTGCCACGTATCTCACCTCATTTGCTTTGCCGCAAATGCACAAGTTGCCATTTACATTTTAGAGCAGGATTAATTTGTTAGAGATGGAGGACATTGATTATTCTGTAAGCTGTTAAGGTATTTAAGGAAAGGGGGTCAGCCAGGGTTGGGTAATGCTTGTGAGATTACGTGGTATGAAAAGCCATTGATGGGAAGCGGAGGAAAGACAGACAAACTGAAGCGTGACAGTGACAGCCCAGAGAAGGTTCAGATCACAAAGGAGTTCATAACGGTCATTAATGTATGTCCAAATTATAAGGTGGAGAGTCAGCCTTATAGGGGTTCCGGTTCCAAAATAAACACATCTCTTAGCAGCTGTGAGGAGAGCATCTGCACAAAAAGAAATGTTTACATGTGTGAAAGCCAAAGAAGCCACTCCAGATTAGCAGACAGACGTTATAATTGTTATTATAGACACTTTTATCAAACATGAGAGCTCATGAGGCTACATGTCAACAAAAGACGAGAAAAAAAAAGGAGGTAAGCAACACCTAAACCTTTCTTTCTATTAACAAAAAAGGGCATTAAAGGGTAATGCTTAAACTACAAATATGAAAAACGGTAAACGACATGACCATTTACTTTTAACTGGCAAGTTAAAATGGGGGGCAAATTACTTCTTTGTCAACCCCTTGCTGATTTAGGTAAGTATTGGACTTCTTTCAAGTTAATATCCTCCTGTAGATTCCCTCAGCCTTACAGACAGTTACACTTCTTAAATATTCTTTGAACAAGTTAGTCAAACAGTTCATTCAGTCTGTCAGTGATAAACCCAAACCGCAGAAGACTCCTGTCCTGAAAACTAGTGGCTGGTAGCTGACGCGTTAGCTGAACCAGCTTGGCACTAACTTGCCGTTTAGCAAAAGTTAGCTCCAGGAGCTAGCGTCCTGGGCTAAGCTAGCTCTGCTGGCTATATAAACTCGAAAAGCCGCAGGCAAGCCCTTGCGATAAAAAAACAAGGTTTTTTACAAGTATGCGATACCATAAATCTGTGCGTTTAGGCCCGAGCTTTGAAAAGCCAATTGAGCATTCAGGCAATAAAAATACATTTTACAAAATCTCCAGTTGCTGGCCAAACTAAGATAACGCCAAAAGAAGTCCGTCCAGGTCATGGAAATCAAAACAAATGTATCTTCGGGCAATAAGGCGGCATAAATCTAGACACTAGTATCTTCCAGTGCAGTGATTAAACTGTTCGTCCAAGCAAAACGTGCTAGTCCTCATATAGAGCAGCACACTAAGTTACATTAATGTTGGGTAGCTGTTAGCCGAAGATATTCCCCGTTGTGACAACACGCCTATTTTTCACTGTTTATTTTGGGCCTAACTGACGCTCGAGAGCCCTGGCCGTTTTCCTGCTCTGCGGACCCGCTGACAGTGACAGCAACTGGGGCCCCGTTAGCCCACCATGTCGCCCTCCCGACGTATTGTTCCGGCACAATGGTCTATTTCCATTTATCCCCCCCTCCCTCCCTCCCTACCTGGTGCACTGCAGTCGGCGCAGACTTCTGTCCTTTGGAGCTTTCTTGACATCTCGAAAGTGTCTGAAATCGAGAGGTGTATGTCTGCGCCGATGGGAGTTATCGCCCGTCTTCCCCAGAGCTACCGACCGACGTCTGCCGTCAACCGCTGCGGCCCCCGAATCCCCGGAAGCCGGGTGGTGTGGCCGACTTTCCCGGCCAGCTGAGAGCTGAATTTCCCGTTTGTTTCTGCGGTCTCTTCGCCCACGCTCGCTTCTGAACTCCAAGTCTTTGGGTCAGAGTTATGTGGACATTGTTAAGGAGCGTAAACGAATCGCATATCCTATCATGGCTACTTTAAATGTAGCCGCTGTACCGCCTGCGAGCCACCGGGAGACGGCAGCTCTCTACCTGCTGGTTAGCGCACACACACCCCACATCCCAGCAACCCACCTACGGGGGGACAGGGCGGGCCAGTCTTAAAGGTGAGATGGGTTCAAATTAGATTCGCAAGATTTCCAACGGACAGAAACTATTGTTATTCCTTAACGAAATTTCTAATATCTGTCAACATTTCATACCAGCCTGCTTAAAAATCTTTAGTTTGAATGACTAGCCTACATGAACAAAAAGGGGAAAAAAAGAAAGATACATTCGGAACTTTTTCTGCTATCATTATTATTGTTGTTATGTGTAATAAAAAATATATATAGTTCTTTTTTTTTACATCAATGTGTGAGACGTGCGTTTTAATCACAGCATCCCTGGGAGCTGATTGGCTGCAAGTGCGCACATTTTCATTTCAGCTTGTCAACGCATCCCTCTCAGTCACCACCGGATGGGAGGAGAAGGAGGAGGATAGATGTGTTAGAAGAGGAAGGGGGAGAGAAAGAGAGAAAGCCAAATAGGTGGAGGAGCGGGTGATGAAGGAATAAAAGGTGTAGCTCCATTTCCCGAGACAATCAAGCGTAGGGGTTTCCTCCGCGAACACCAGGGCTTTGCACTTTGGGGAGGATCGTGCGCTGCGCCCCGCGCACGGTACCGCACGCCTTTTGGGGGCATCACCGCCGACGAAGGATGGTAGCCTCGATTTTATAGGGTAAATTCAGCACAAAAAAAGTATTCTGACGATCCGCAGCGAAGGGAGAGGAGGAGGCAAACTATGATCCGAGGATGATTTCCGCCAAGAAAACTCCGGAGAAGAGTCGTTATCCTATCCACTATCTTGTGTGGCACAACAAGCACCGTCAGCTGGAGAAGGAGCTGGCAACGAACGAGCAGGTGAGACGAGGGGGGGGCGGGGGAGTTGGGGTGGGGTGATGGGGGGGTGATCAAAGATATTTCCTCTGACAGACATATAGGCATGTGTCATTATTAGGGGCGATTTGTGGGTTGTGTGGATGTGTACCGCTGTATTTAGTGTAGAATTATGTGCCATCTGGGGAGGATCTCATTCAAGAACCCTGGCAGTAATAGAGTAATAGCGCAGTTAATTGTTATCTGTAGGGTGGAGCGAGACACTTTCAAACCACACAGTTCCCCCCCCCCCTAAATTTTCATTCATTCATTCTAACCTGCCACAACTGGTACTGTTTGGCATAAATGTGACATGAATGATAAAGCTGTTTGATTTTCAGATGCATGGGAAGTTTTAGGTGTCTTTTTTCTCCCCCTTTTTGACATTCTAAATGCAGCAGGACCTTCCTTCAGTATGTGTGTCTGTGTCTGTGTGTCATAGGCGTCATTGTTGCCTCATCTACTTCAAACTGTGTAGGCTCTCCACCTTCCCACCAGCACCCAAACCATTCCTGAGTGGGTGAGACAATGCAGATGCCGTATCATGTGGGCGAACAGTTGCCAGCCACCACAATAAATACAGTCATGGAATCAAGAAGCTATTGGACAGCCGTTCTGTGTAAAAAGAAAAAGGGGAAAAAAGCCTTTATGATTATTGTCTTGCAGTGGGAAGACTGGAGTCCCTCAGTTAAAGGGCAAGGGGATAAGAATTGCATTACATGTAAGGAAGAAAGAAGAGGAGGGACACCTAACTGAATTCAGATCGTTCTTTTGATTTTTTTCTCACCATTACATAAGAAATGTGCTTCTGGTTAGCAGCTAAGATGCATCTTGAAAACACTTCAACACACACATCAACAGACTCGTATCTGCACAAACACCTTTTCTTTCTTTCTTTTTCCACCTTTTTGTACTTATATAATGTCATCAGAAAGCTGCAGCTATTTATCTTCCTCCAAAATTGTCCACAACTGCCAGAAAAGCTGGCATTCTGTGCACATTTGCGGTGAAAAGACTGTGGCATTTCACCGTTTTGCATTAAACCGTCGTAATCTGGAAATGTGCGGCACGCCTGGCAGCGATAGGGTCCAACAACAGACTAAGACCTCTGATATTCCAGTCAGTGCTGCAGATGCAGGTGACACAACGTTTTCCCTTTTTTATAGAGATGGAAATGAATAACTGGTGCCCTCAAGGGCGAAGAGGCAAACACCTTTCCTCCCTCCAATAATTTTTTGACGGCCTGCTGGTTCACAACCTACTTAAGTATCAGCACTCATAGGTTGTTGTTTTTTTGCTTTAAAAAATTCTATAATTTCATTGTTATCAGGAATATCTCTGCTTATATGCCCAGATACAACCCTGGAAGGGGTTTTTAAAAAAGGAATTGTACTCCTTTAGGATGTTTGTTTAGTTGTAAAAAATAGGTGAATTGCTGTCAGCTTGAGCAGTTTTTTTTAGAAGGAAGGGGGGAAATTATAGTCATTTTTAAGAGGCGTCAATCCTGGCTGAGATTACCGGCAGAGAGTCGAGGATAAGTTTTGTTTTTCTGTGAGCTCACCTTGAGACTCGTTTGTCGTCCGACCCTCGTGTTAAAATGCAAAAAGATTAAATGAGGCGAGATTACAAGAGAAGGACAAGTCTCGTAAACCAATGTCTTTTTCACAGTAAACACAGAAAAATAATGTAACGTCAAAAGAAACATATTTTTGCAATTTCTGGAGGGAAAAAAGCTCGTATTGGATTTGGAGGTGGTGACACATCTCAAATGTATTTGTTTACAGGGGCAATTCGCTGTTTACTATTGTGTATCATCTTATCTTCACTATCAGAAAAAAACAGACTTGTCACTGAGGTGATACCCTCCAAGGTTTGTCCTCCCTTGTAGTTTGTCTATGCAAGACTTTGGAGAATACTTGTCCCTGTCAGGACCTCTAAAATGGCACACATGTGCCTTAGGGTCCAGTTATTAGCTTTATGGGGTACTTAAGCTGAGAAAGCACCTCAGGAGACTTGAATGTTCTCTTATTGTGTCCCTATTTTCAACAGTGTTTGTTCAACCGCAGTTTGTGAATGTAGTGGAACTGAGGAGACCTGCTGCTGGACCTTTGGGAGAAGAGCTCCCTTTTTTGTCTGATATTGGATTTTGCTGAACAGTGCACTATGCGCTCTTGCTTGGCAGTATGTGGTTTTGCTGTTTCCTGTTGAAATATGCAATGCGCTCTCTAAAAAAAAAAGATATAATCTAGGAGCATATATTGCTTTGAAACTCATGGATGTCTTTTAGCATTGATGGTTGTCTTTCAGATATGCAGGTTTTCAGCTGCACGCACACTAATGCGTGCTGAGCACCCTGCATAGACAGTGCTCTCTGGAAGTGTTCTTATGCTTATGCTGGGATTTTCATGATAGAATAAACCCTGTCTTTAATGTGGCCTAAGGGTTCAACAATCACACTCATTTAGTCTTAATTTTCCCAATGTCCCTTTATTTACATGACTGTCTTTTGTGAAATTTCATGAAATATTAATATTTTATTAATCAGACTTACTGTAGGGAACGTTGTTTTAAAGCTTTTTGAATTTTAAAAATATTATTTCATTGTTTTTTTTAGCTGATTGCTGAGCCTCTGCCCATCTTTACTTCTGAGAGTGCTCTTTTTTAATCATGTTACTAACCTGTTACCAATCACCTTGATTAGCTCCAATTGACTCTTTCTGCTCGTTTTGTTTTATTGCCCTGATATTTCACCCTTTTGTTGGCCTGCGTGTTGGTGCCAAAACATTAATGATGGCCAAAAAACAGCAATGTAACTCAGTTCAAACATATATTTCCCATGATATATAGAACAGAAAATAACTGATAGTTAAGGTTGTCCAGCAACTGCATTTATTGCCTTACGTTTATGAAATGGGGTTGCTTTAAGGTTTTGAGACCTAACTTGGGAAAAAAAAACAACCCAGATTAAAAATGACTTTTTCTTGTTTCTCCAGCTGTGCTGCACATCTGCAGGGCCTTATCTTATTTTTCAGATCTTCTTGGACATGGCAGTAATCTGCCAAAGCATAGATAGCACTTGAACAGAATTCAGACTGAAAAGACAAATGACTGTAAAATATATATTGCTCTAATGCATCAGGCTTTATTCTCAGAATGGATGTAAAAAAAATTATATAGATTTTTTTTGTAAGTGGAAATGGTGTTAAAACTGGTTGCTGGAGTACAATATTTCTCAGAGGGAAATACTTTTCATCTCCTTGAAAAACTCCTGGGAATATCTGCAGGCCATAAACCAACTTCGTGTTTCTGCCACATTGAGCTTATAGTGTTTATCAGCCGTTGTGTGGGTGTATGCATATTTGCATCACGGTTTTCCCCCTTCTTGAAAACCTCCCTTTTTTATCTTTCTATTTCTAAACATTTTAAATATTTCATGAGTTCTAATCAGCACTTAAGCTGGTAGAATTACTGTTAAACAAACATAGCAAATATATAAATATGTGGTGTATTTTGAACAAGGACAGCATTATTATTTTTTTGGGATAATATTTTGGATATGCTCCAGCCAGCACAATACAATTTCACAGCACAGAGAGCTTTTGGTTTGATATTCAGACTAGACTATAACATAGGCAAAACAGAACAATAGAAAAGCAATTTAGATATAACTTGTTTTACTTTATTGTGGGTCAAAATCCCACGAATAAATAAGTCAGGATACCAAAATAAACTTGCTCACCATGTCCAAGAACTCTGTGACCTTCCCTTTCTGCACCCGAGATGAAGAGTTCCTAGTTTAGATTCATGAAAAATATTTTCATGAATATTAATGCCACAAACCTACTTCTCTCACTGACCTACTGTAGGATGTGGTGGAACAGATAGAAAAGGGGGATTTTGTACATGCACATTCTAAATGTGGGTATATGTTTAAGCACACTGACTAAAAATATACAGAAAAGTGTACAATTTGACCATTGCAAGTGGTCAAAACCAGCGTGACGTCCAGTTAGCATTTACAAAAATCCAAACATCTCATGAAAAAAGACAAAAAAAAACTAAAAAGTTGATTCATTTAGTAAACTAAACACACAATATTCAACATTACAATTTGTAGGGCGGATTTTTGGAAAAACACGAGCAAAGCACACCACGTGTCACCAATACAGTGAAAAGCGCTTCACAAAACTACACTACAGGAACTTTAAGCAAAACAGTTTATTTAAGTGGTCCATCCATCCATCCACTATCTGTCCCAGCTGACACCGGGCTCTATGCTGTTTTTGTGCTTTGGTAAGCCAATTTTCTGTGCTTCTGGTTTCTGTTGTGTTTTCTAATACATTTATTTGGCAGCTTTTACTTTTGCGAAAGAAGGTCTTAACCTCTCAAAAAACATTTGGAGGCGGATGCGGTAGCCGTTAAGCCCTCTGCGCGAGTTGAGCCAGAAACCGATTACTATTCAAATACGATGTGTTTTGTTGGTGTGCATGACTTTGAATTATACAGCAGGAATAATAACGACACTCCATAGCCTTGCTCCTACAGTCCAGAAGAAGAGGGCTGTACTCAGTTGTTGCATGATAGCGTTTGCCCTCCGATAACCAACACACTTACCCTCTCACCTCTCGTTCTCCAGCTCAGTCCAAGAACACTGGCCTCCCCTGTGTGGTTTAGCAAACGATCGAATAAATAAAATGAAAATCACAGTCACTCACGCGTCTGGCACTTTTAAAGTCTTGATGGTGAACAATGAGACTCCATTTCGTGTTCATTTCCCTGTGTGTGCACGCGGCAAACATCCGGCATCTGTTCTGATTGAGTTTCGTTCAGACATTATAGTGACTGGTTGTTGTGGCATGAGGCTTGATTTATTTGTCTAATGACTGTCTTGCGAGCCTTTTTTTCCCCATTTTATTTCATCATGTCTACTGTTCATGTAGCATGTGTGGGTTGCCATTGATAGCTACTAAGAGAAATGAGTCAAA